CTATTGTATAAAAATTTAGTTTAAAAAGATATCAAATAAATGAAAATTGTCTATTTATCTTAAGTATGTAGAAACTTAAGCAATACTTACTTTTTGATTAATTCAATTTTAAAATTTAAGACCAAATTAATTTACTTGTAACACTATGTTAAACTATAATGTTATTAAAATGTTTCCTACATTTTGCATATAATTTAAAATTTTAATTTTAATTTTTCAATAAAATTATATCACATAAGAACATTATAAATTCAACTTGGAATACAAAAAAAAGAAAAGAAAAAAAAGAGACCATTTTTTTATTTTTTTTTGCTATATTTTATTATTCATGAAAATAAATTAAGTAAAAAAAAGAGAAAAAAGAAAAAGAGACTCTATTTAATAATTACAAAATGTTTTACAAGAATTTTAGAGTTAGTTTTTGAATTCAACATAAAACATAATAAAAAGAATCTGACAAAGAATTAAGTTTTTGCTATAACCTAATTTTAAAACAATAATAATATTCACAAGTCATGAATTAAGTACAAAATATTTTTAATATAATTTTCTAAATACAACTTTAACTAATATTTTTATTTTAGTACATTAACCATCTCAAGGATGCAAAGAATAAGTACAAGTGTGCAATGAGAACAATGTTCTTTGTCATAAAAAATATTTTTATTAAAATAAAGAGGATACTTTGTTGTAAGGAGCATTGTTATGGTTACATGCTTATACATATTTCCAATATCATAGTTGTGCAAAGAAGTACAAGCATGTGACTACCACAATGATCCATACAATAAAGGATTTCTTTGTTAAAAGTAGAGAAGATTCTTTATTTTATGGAGATTGTTGTTGTCATATGCTTTTACTGATTTCAAATTCTATACCTTCTATTCTCAAATCCTAAAATAAACTTTAAATTACTACCTTTGTTTCAAAGAACATATATTTAATATTAGATTTATTTATTTATTTCTTGTATGAAGATTTAATAATATTTTTTCTATTTTCTTTTGTCTTTTTCATCTTACAATCAATAAAATTGAATCTTTCTTACAATTTGTAGTAAAATATTTACTAAATATAAATTTTACTTATTTACCATATCAGCCAACATATGAAATTAAAAAAAAATAATTTTCTTCAATTCATATAATTTGTAGAGGGAAATGTTGATATGTAGATTTTTTAATTTTTTAATATTTTATAGATCCTCTGATTATTAGAATTTGTGTATATAGTTGGTAGATAGTATTATCAAAAATGATCCTTTATAATAATTTTCTCGGAAGAATTTCAAAAAACTTTGAAAAAAAAAAAACCAATGTTGTCTACAATTGACTTTTGTTTGTTTGTACTTTGATTGCCTTTATTATGTAAATAAACATTTCACCATTTGACCAAATTCAACTTTAACTTTATTTAGTGATATCTTTAAGTTTCTACATGCAATCTTGAAGTTAACATTAACATTTAGTTTTTTTTATTAAGAAATGCACCATTGTAACTTTTAACATATTACAATGACAAATCTATCAATTGCAACCAAAACTAATTACAATCTATATGATAAATATAATTTTTTACCTAAATTTTTTACACTGCATTGAACATCTACGGGATAAATTAAAAACATTTCAATTGATAAAATGCACTTTTATAATAATTTTACATCCAATTTAGATAAGAATTTCTCATTAAGTTATGAAAAAAACCTACATATTTTTCTATTTTCAAATCAATAAATTATAAGTATTTAAAAATATAAAAACTAAAAGTGACATTATATAAATTTTTATTTAAAATAAAACTAAAAGCACTATCTAAATTTTAAGCACATGAACAGTATCAAAATTACATTGTATCTATTATATAAGATAATTTGGATATAATACAAAGAGAAAAAGAAATCTTTAGATTGGTTGTATGGAAGGGAACGTGAGGAAGGTGAAGAACATGGGAACGAAAGAACAAGAATGAACAAGGAAATGTATGAATGTACCAGAGATTGCAGTGCCCAAAGGCATAGGATTCCATTAGTATTATAAAATATTTGTTGTATTAGCAGGAAGATTAGGGCACCGTCCGCATTCACACGATGAGCATCTTTCATGCTCTTTCTCCAATGCATTCTAAAACCGTTTTAAGATAAAGAATCTGAGTTAGGGCTTATCACCCTCTTCATCACAAATGAGCAGACAAGATAAGCGGGCATACCCAAAAAAGAAAATTCTGACCTGCCCGAGTGCTCGATATGGATGAGAAGGTTCACCCAACTGACCGTGGAGCTGACCGGCACCCAAATTAGGGTTTCAGAATACTCTCCGCCCCCATTTTTTATTGGCTTCGTTTTTTGTTGTGTTGAGGTGGCGACGGCAGAAAGAATGACTGGACACGACCCCTTATGATTGATCGTTGCCAAAAGCAACGGAGTCTGGGAGATGTGGCCCAACGAGCACCGTATGCACGACACCCACACACCTTTCGCGCTCCCCCCCCCCCTGAAGAACGATGCCCTATTTGTTTCCCGAGGATCGCTCAATCATTTCCTGTCCTCCAAATTGCGAACTGAATTTGCGGTCGTCGTTATAGCCTTCGGATCGAACCTCTACGTCCTCATACCTTTCCAGATCGGCAATCATTTGGTTGCAATATCTGATGGTTGCTGCGACCTGTGATTACGGTAGATGCCGGAATCTGTGAGAACACGCGCCGATGTCGATCGAACACGTTATTGCCGATTATTGGCCATTCGGAGATGAAGCTTACTATAAAAGACCTCTTTATGGAGTATAGGACGAAGAGGGGAGCACGGTCATCATACAATGCAGTAGATGTGAAAAGGTCTTTTGCCCATTAAGTGTTGCGGGCGAAAAGTTTTCAGTGTTACAAATATACCACACCTGATTTTGAACTTGCAAATATCCTTAGCGTGCTCTTTTTTGAGACCGTATCATAAAAGCGTGTTCGCTGTAGGTTTATTTATAGGTTTTCTGTTGTGGGGGAGGAACTCTATGGAAACTCGGAGCGTGAATCACGAGCCAGGGGGCAAGCTGGACGATTAAATACCATTTTGTACCGGGTTTCCTATTTGAGTCTCCAGTGCCATCCACATGTGTAGCCGGTGCTCCATAGCTTCTGCTGTATACCAGTGTTTCAACATGCGGCGAGGTTAAAGTAACTGAGCTGTGGTTGGCACTAATACCTAGCACTGCCACACCATTCGACCTGATTTGGGCTTTGAAGTAGCTGTAAGAGAGTGCTTCATCTGAAATGTTTAATTTTTTTTTGACTCCAGTGGTTGGAGAATGAGCATGTCAGGGGTATGTTGGAAGAAGAATTTTCTCAGCACAGTAAGATCTCGTGAGTGCACTGTGAAGCTGACGTGTGCGTGACACGCGTGACGGGAAGTTGGCAAATTGTGTTACCGACGGTGCTGTGCGAGATTGTACTGTGATGTGGAGGATCTGTTTTGTGACCATGAACTTTGTGTGAGGAGTGAGCCCCTGCTCATGCGTCTTCACACATTGAGTATATTATCATGAACGCCTTGTAACAGGATGCAGTGGCACGTAAGCGCTTCACTGTTGCTATGCTGTAACCGATAACTATTGCGTTGGTGGAGTGCCCCTAGCGGATTCAAAGTAAGAGGTGGCAATCCCATCGTGCATTCTCCAACTTTGGCTTGTCGCCAGTTGCCTGAACATCATTACTCAGTGATGATCCGAAACCCTTCTCGCTTACGCCGCTTAATGTCTGATGATTGCGAAAATGAGAACCGTCCCGACAAACACCTCAAACTTATCTGTTTCAAGAGGCTATGCTGGTGAAGGTGCACAATATCGAGATAAAACTCAACCCTGGTTGATTGTGCGCTTCTAATGCCACATCGCTTCAACAATCTTGGGTTCCTCAAAACCACATAGGTCGACTTTGGAAGTATCAAGTGTGGAAGTCATTGTCTACAGATGTTTTTGCAAAGACGTTTCGATTAAAACAACTAACCTGGTTGAGTATGTCCTTATGAAATGATTGAGACCCTACCACAGTAATCCACACATTTGTCTTAAATCTGAGGTTGCCGATCTCAATCGGAGAGCCACGCCACTCACCGGATGATAGAATTAGGCAGTCTTGTTACTGAAAGCCACCCGTACAGAGAAAGAGCGCAGTTGGAGACACTTATTATGAGAACGTGAGAGACTATGGCTGATGCTCGATGGTAAACTTCAGACGTGGTGGAAGTTAATGGCGTTGTGCATGAGCAACGTCGCCCCTTCATCCCAACAAAGCGAATGAATGACTACGATTTAAAACAGTGGCATCGAGATCTGAAACAATGTCCCTCTCCCCATCGCAAAGTCCCAATCCCAGACCTGTCGCGATATCCGGAGTTGAAAGCCAATGCGGACAGAGCAATGAACGAGGAAAACCGGAAGCTGTTGACTAACCTTGCTAAGTACATTGACATATTACTCGTGGGAAAATAAGAAATTATGGCTACCAATTGAGCTTGTTTCTAGATTATTTCTGTTAAAGGAAAACCCTACTGTAGTAAGGCGGGAAACTGGTTAATCATGTGAAAGTATCGATGAAGAATTTGGGGCATTCTCCCCTCCTTCGTTAACTATTTTCGCGTACACTGCCACAAATTGACTGTACCGGTGAAAGTTGGAAACTGATCACACAATGCGAATAATACTACGGCAGCGTGTCTTGAGAAACATGGTTTCAGAATTTGCGTCTTAGTGTCAACAGAGAGCTATTCAGCTGAAGTGCAAGCCAACTCCTGCTGCTGTGCCTGGTTAGAGTACTTTTAACATACTGAATGGTGTACACCAGGTACAACTCAATCTACCAGTACAAGCGGAGCATAAAAAAGTCCCTCTAGTTGCATGAGATTAGTTATCCACATTGCATGCACTTTTAAGATAGTCTGCTTGACTTGTTGAGAAGCAAAAGCCGCACAAGCGCCAATGGCAGTGAAGGGATGAGAACGTGATAGCAGATGTACGAAATGGGCAGAATTTTCATTATTCCATTGAAATGGACTCTACCTCTACATCAACTTCCTTCATCAAAACGATGAACAGAGGAAGGTGGCGGAATCTCAACTAAACAGTGCAGGACTATCCTCGAAGAAAAACATCAAGAAGATGCAAAAATACCACTAAATACCACCGATTACAGTCAAAATTGATCATCAATGCTCTGTCCCTGAAACAGAAGCACAACGTACGTAATCTATACTCCGCAGCACTAGTCGGCATGGCCAAAGCACCGGCAACGGGAATAGCTGAACTGCTTCCAAGACTGAAAGTGTGTCATTGAATAATTTAACCAAGCTGAATCCACTAACGAAAGTTATTACTCTTGAATTTATTTACAAAGCCTTATGCAACCGAATTTGGTGCATTTGAAATGTGTCTCGAATGAATGGAAAGCCAAGGACAGGTCAAGCATTCACCATGCCGCAAGAGAGTGCCATTAACAGCACAGCTCCTTCCTCCTCATCAGAGGAAAATGAACCCATTTGGAGATTCAGCTCCTTGACTTGACTGCGAGACACTGGTGAGGCTCTAAAATCTTGTTGCAGTGTGCTCTTTGGCGAGGTAGCAAACAGAGACGATTGCCAGGTCATGCAACTTCCGGATAGAAGGCTATCCGACGTCCTGACAAGAGGCCCTCTGCTTCTCTTCCTAGACTTCACTTCTGGAGGAAACATCCAGTACTGTTGATCATCATTCGCAGGTCTCCGCCTCCCAACCTTAGTGGTGACTGGGGGAGAAGTCTGCGACTCAGAGCAACCACTAGCAGCAGACCTCCGTCCAGCTTTCTTGAAGCGAATACCACACGCATTACAGAGGGACTGCAAAGAGGGAGATCAGGGAGTGAGTACTAACATTAAAACAATATAGCAGAGAGATAGAGCAATCTTGGGAAACAAAGGCCGTACACGGTTCTAACGAAAGAGGCTGAGATAAACACCTTTGGTCCTCCAGGTCCGTTCCTCCAGAGAGGTGTCTTCGAAGTCCCACAGTGGGCACAAACACGGGCAGTGCCGTCCCCTTCTTGCTCGATCCTGGACGCTGCTTTGGCCTCAACCGTGACGCGAGAGGCAAAGTAATTCGGTAGCCAAGGCTGACGACTTGAACGGTTGCTGTAAGCCTGATCTTCGAGCGTGCTGAATAGTGATTTGGAGGCATTCGCTTCGTCCTTGTATGATTGAGAAGAAGATCTTGGCCATGCCTTGAAGTCTTTTCTGCCGAAATCAGTGATTCGGCCTCGTTCGGAAACCTGAATGAAATCGACACAAGGCCAGGTGAGAAAGAATTGCTATGATCAGCACGAGAGCATCGAAATCTCATGATCACAGCAGCAAACATGAGCTCCTAAATTCCAGAAGCGCACGGGAATTACAGACCACCGCTGCCGAGGAGGACGGTGCACTCGAGAGACATTGTGCAAACAGATTGAGCACAACAGTGGAATATCGTGAAAAAATTGTGGAACCTTATCCTGAGAATTCGATAATTTTCAGTGACCAGAAATGTACCTGAGGGAAATACTCAGGAGAGATGTCGGGATCGCTGCGATTGCTACTACCGCCCCAAGACATGTCCTGTTCACTCCGGTCACGTTCCACTCGCTCCGATAGCACTGTCAGGGGCCATGGGTGGTCCTGATCAGGCGATCCTGCACGAGAGAGCCGAGCGGGAATGTCTATCCGCGACGTAGTGGACCCTAGAGAAAGGGTACAGTCAACAGCCAGCGAGAGATTACAGTAGCCCGGCTCCTCCATTTTTCTAGGCGTTACTCTAACGCACAGCCCTCCAGCGCTAGGACTAGTGTCAGCTTGAACGCCAACCATCCTCGAATGCGAACAGAAGAAAACTACTGGAAAAAATTGTAGGAGACCTCTTGCTTCGACTCGACAACAAAAAAAAGTTACTTTGTTTCCACCAGTAAGGCCTCGTGATCAACGCAATTCCTCTTAAACCCTGGCTGGTAAGCTCGACCCGAACTACGTCAATCCTCGCAACCCCCGAGGCTTCACGCGATCAGTGCTCGATCACTCGAAAAACCCTCTGAAAGAATAACTAATCCCACGTCCACTGACAAGTCTAACCGCTCACAGAGCTTCTCTCACACCACCAATTCGCCGCCTCATGGTACTAGACCAGACACTCGCACTCTGGAAATCTGTCACCCACACAGATATGCACCCCTTCTGCCCACACCGGCAGTCACTGTCCATGGGATCAAAGGCCCGACCGGATCACAACCCTTCTACAATCAACCACAGCTGCCACACAACAGCAACTAACGCCCGAGAACTGTCCGATCAGGCACCACTCTCATCGATCGATCACCTCAGTTGTACAGGATCCCACCGCCAACAAACAATATCCTTCAAAAAAGACTAAACGCATCGATGAGGTCGATCACGGCAGTATCTATACGTGTAGGCGATGGACGGATCAAAAGAAATGATTCTAAGTTAAGAACGATTTAGGGAAAGGCAAAGAATAGCGGCGCAAAGGGGGCTATCCAATCGGCCCGCCGTGTACATTATCTAGTAGCTGTGGACATGGATCCATACATTCTCGGCCCGGCACCCTGCTCCCGAGCCCAGGCTCCGACTCCCGCATCTCCGCCCCTCCCCTCCCCTCCCAAGGATGAATACCCACCCTTCATCCTCATTCATCTTCTTCTATCCCGGCTTCCTTTGCCTTATCCCTTCGTAGTGGTTGCGCTACCATCCATTTCTGCTCGCCGGTCCCTAATCTCCACAACGCCTCTTTCTGAAGCCACCCTGCCCCCACCCCAACTACAAGCCCACCGTCACTTTCTCTCACTCTCTTTCTCTGGTCTCGTCCTACTCTGGCAGCCGTGTGCAATGGTGCTGTTGCGCGACCCTCCGTCGGGGATTGAGGCGCAATGCTCGTTGACAATCCCGAGTCTGCTTCTGTTGTGCAAGTGACCGAGTTGCTGCCGAACTCCGCGTCGCAACTGCAGACCCTCAAACTCTTTGGGCTTTGAATCCGATGCTGCCGCCGCCCTCGCCGCCATTGGCCATCCGCCCGTCTCGTCCCCTCCCTCTCGCACTCTCGCTATCTCATTCGTGTGCACCGTGTGTTGCTGCGCATCCAGGGACCTCTTGCCCTAATTCGACGCCGCACAATCCAATCCGGGGACTCGCCTCTCCGAGTATCAAACCTAGTATCAACCGAGTATAAACCCGATTACACACTAGTGTATCAGCCCTAGTATCAGCCCGGTTTTCATTTCGTGGACGATCAGATGCCCTCTTAAAGATCGGACGGGCACGATGGCCAGTTGCAAGATCTGCACACTCAACCTTTTGGATACAAAGCGTTTGAGTGAACAGTTCCATGGGAGTGTACCAAATGTGGGGTGTTCAGAATCCATAAAATAATTAAAAGAGAATGAACTTACAATTGCAAAGTATGTGAATTGAATCTCACTCTTGAGTCCATGGGACAATAAGTTTTAGGAATGGGCTTTGGGTTGTGAGTGTAGAAAATATTTTAATAAGACATTTTGTAAACATGACTAACAACTACATTTAAATAATTTCGGGCCTTTAATGAACATGTTGCAACTTTGTAGTTTGTATTGTAGCTTATCATTTCTTACCCTGAGACTTGTTATTGATTTTTTTTTTTTTTTTTTTTTTTTTTTTTACCATGTATTCTTAGTTTATTAGTTTTTCTAGTCTCTATTCTTTTTCAGAATATAGATGAGATGTTAAGAACTACAAACATATATTTTATTCAACATTGATATTAGACTAAAAAAACAATAATGATGAATGATTTGACATAATCTCGTTAAATCTAATAGAGTCAAAGTAGTAATTGATTTGACTTCATGTTGCCTAATTTTTAAGATTTAATGAAATTCAACTCCAAATTTCTATGTCAAATATATTAATCTAAACTCAGAAAGCAAAATAATATATCAATTTTTTTACACTTATATCCTGTTTTCTTTCTGTTTGAAGTTCTTATCAAACAAGCACTTTATCACAGTGAATTTCAAATCTTACTAATACAGATTTGATAATTAGAAAAACATAAATATATATATATATATATATATATAGGCACAACTAAAAAAATAAAAGTCTGGATTTTCCACTCAGTGGATAAAAAAAATGTTATTGTGTTTTATTATGTACTGTTAAAAAATAAATAAAGATAAAAGTAGAAAATTTTATTAGGATGATTGTTTCTTTTATACCTAGGTTTTTGTTTTAGATGAATGCATGGGATAAAAAGGAAGCTTGATTGACGTGAATCAATACTTACTAAGATTAATTGCAATTTTATTGTTCAATCTTTGCAAAACAATTTATAGGAGGTGTTTAATAAGGTAATTGGTTTTGGATAATTTAATGTGATAAGATTCTTTCTTTTATACAACAATATAACATATTTTTTGAAAACATGTTGTAGAAAATTACTTTATACTAATATTTTTTTCAATAATTTTTACATAGTTTTCTTCTATAATATACCAAAACGCTTGAAGAATTTTTTAAATCACTCAATTAAGAGTTGACACTTTTTCTATGTCTATCTTTTTATTGCTTATTATTACTTAACTTTTAATAGTAGCTAGATCAAAGCACCCTTCATATTTTTAATAGATTTTTATTAATTGTATGCACTACAACATTAGTAGCATCTGTAAACTTATAAAAAGTGTATCCTTGGGTCTAGAAGTTAAAATAAAAGACCTTAAGTTTATTTTTTGGAGATATTTAGTCACATTTATAAACCTTCATGTTGTAAATTAATAAATTTTTGCTTTTGATTGAAAACTTTATTTTGATTTTAAAAATATAATTTTAAGAAGTCATTACTTTAAGATTGTTATTTAATCTCAGACCTAAGTCTTTGTCTATCTTGTTGCCAATGTTCATTTAGAATTTTTTTACTTCTTACTAGACAATGTAATTTAAGATGTTAACTTGCAGTTTTATTTGAACATTAAGGATCACAATTTATTTTTTTATTTTTTTTATTTGAAAGCTTTAAACAAATTTTTAAATTAAAATTTTTTATGATTTTTACAAAACCTAATATATTAATAAGAGACTACTCAAAACATTTGTTCTAGGACATTTTAGCTTCTATTTTATTCAATTAATTTATCACTAGTGAATTTTTGAAATAAAATATTTTTTTTGGGTTACAACCCTTTTATTTCTTTGATGTAGGCTACAAGACTAAATGTTAAAAATATGCCCTAGTTTCTTTTTAGACTTATTGATTTTGTATTTAATATAATTTCTATAACTTTTTGCAATTTTAAGATCTTATTAAGTAATCTTAGATATTTTTCACTTTGTACAAGCTCAACTATTTGGTGCTAATCTATGCTTTGTTGCTAACATAATATTTCTTCAATTTTATTTATTTATTTATTTTTTTTTTTTGATAAACTATCTTTTGAATATACTTGTTTGAATCTCCAAAAAAAAAACTTTATTTGTTTAAAAGGTTCTTGATTGTACTTTTACAACTTAACATGTTGTTTCAATCATTTAAATCTAATATATATATATATATATATATATATATGTGTGTATCCAAACTACTAATTCCACTTCAAATTACCTTTGCTTCTCTATTCTAACTCTAATTGTGTTATATTTGCTCACAATCTTAGAAATTTGTTTGTAGCCATGCTTGAATTAATTCTTCATATTTAAATACTATATGACTTTAAATACAAAGCTCTATTTTCTAATCAATTTAAGAATATTATACTTTAGAAATAAAAATTCATCTTTATCTTACTTCTAATTCTTACATTTCTATCATAAAACTATATTAAATCTTTTTGAACATTTAAACAGAATTTGAATTTAAAATTATGCACAAATTTTCTTGTGTTGTTGTAAGAAATATTTGTAGGCATTCCAATTGATTGCAAAAATTGTGAGGAGTACAAAAATCACACTATAGATCTCTATTATGTTAAGATTTTTAAAATTTTAACTCAACTCTAAGGTCATTTCACTACAGCTCAAGGACATCAATGCTTTCTTCAACACATACAAGAATAAACAGTTTAAAAATAAATCTTCATAAAAATAAATCAATAGATCATTACAAATATGTAAATAGAACATTTTCTTCTAATTCTTCTTCTATCTATTTCAATAGTATTATATATATATATAATGTCACTTTTTCTAATATGATGTATTTTAATTGAATCATCCAAATGTCTTTAAAAAATCTTTCAACTTATATAGATATATTTTTTAAACCATCTAATTGCCATGATAACTTTTATGTAAATTATATCAAATGATTTTAAATGTTTATGATTACATGTAGATTATGTCTATATTGATAGATATATTAATAAACTAATTTCAATACTTTCTAAAATATTTGTTTTTATTAAAAATTTATAAATTTATATACATTACAAAGCAATAATGGCTTATTTCAGAAAATTTTAATGTCATGCCTACATACCTAAATTTTAGTAACGATTTTAAAATCTACGAAACATTAAATGTAAAATAGAAATTTACAAAACAAAATACTATAAGATCTAAAGAAGTTTACATCTACAAAATGATTATATATCAAAAGAATCCAAAATCAAATCAAAGTTTAACTTATTGATAATTTTTTTGAATCTCAAAATTTGAAAATTAAAAGAAAGAGATCACATAATATAATCTCTACAATTTAATTTTTATGATTCATATGTATATACAAATAAATATATAATAAATATCTATACAAATAAATTATATTTCAAATATATAATTTAATATTTATATATATATACATCTATATATATATATGCATATATTTATATCCTTATATACATATATTTAAATACGTACATACTTTAAATATCTTAATTATTCTTAAAAAATTGAAATATATTTGAAATTTATGTAATAATTGTTTTTTTTACTTATTTTGGTAATTTATGAGTTTTTTTTATCTTTAAAGTTATCTATTTTTTATTCTTTACGTATTTATATATAAAAAATTAATTTCAATAATAATTTTTAAAATTTTAGATTTTTTAATAAATTTCTTAATTTAAGAATATATAAATTCCTACTATAAGAATATAATTTTTAATTTTAATTTTATTTAGAAAAATCAAGATTATTAAAAATAAAATCTTAATATATGTTTTTTTAAATATTTATATAATTATTTATAATAAAATTATTAACAATATAAAAAAATAAAAAATAACTATAACATAATCTTAAATAACTATAAAGATGTTATTGAACATAAATTAGTAAACATGAATATTATTTAATAGTCTAAAATATATTAAAATGCAATAAAATTTATCTTTTGTTTTGATAAAATATTCTTGAATCAATTAAATTTTTTTAAAATTAAAAAATTAAATATATAATATAAAATAAAATTATAATTTGTTATATGTCAATTGAGTATTTAAAAATTATACATAATTTAAAT